CACTCACATCCTGGGCCATCTGACCTCAGGAAATCACATGATAGGGTGGGGCTAGGTTTCACAATGAACTCACCCGAAACCTTGGCTGGTTGTGACACACAGCCGTTTTCACACCTTGGCTTGGGTGATTAGGTAGAGGATCATTAGGGGATCCATGTCCCTCTTGGCGGGTTACTCCCACAGAGCTTAAATCTGGGACTCTCCACCATTTGACGCTAGAACTGAAGAAGCTTCTCAGATGAGAGGTGAAACGTCTTCAAGCAACTTAAAGAAGTCCAGACGCTTTTCTTTCCAAGCTCCTTAGACAACACACAATTTCACAAAGCTCAAATAATCTCAAACTGGTTTCCTGGACATTACAGTAAGTTCACTGTACTCAGCAGCCTCCGCACTCAGTAGATCTCTGTCCAATCGAGCACTTTTCTTTCGAAGCTCTTTAACTCACTTTAATGCACAAAAAACAGTTTATAACTTTTATGTAGCATGCTTGACCTGATTTTTTTGTTGATATTATGTCTCTCTCCATTAAAATTAAGCTTATATAAAATCAGAGACTGTTTGTTCCTTTGGAAGTGAGCAAAATTCATCAAGGGTCATAGTCATAAGTCATAATTTATGATGTACTGTGAGACGTGTGGCAGCAGAATATGTCTCACCACCTGTTTATTGAAGTGACTTCCATTTCCATGCTTGACTTTAGTTCATTTTCATGTGCTCTTTAGTTTAACATATGTTCCATATGGATCAATTTTCCAGGTCACCAGTGTGAAAGTCTTCAGACTTTATATGTATGAGCATTAGAGACCTCCATCATAATATGGTTTACTTTCTGTTGATTGGTCATTAGAGTGGAGTGGCTATGATAGTAACAAAAGGGCGGTAACTAGCCTGTCCATGGAAGTAATTCGAACTGATAATTGTTATTCAGTGGAACAGTAATATTCAAAGGGGCTGCTTCTTTATATGTACAGGTAATATTGACCATTTCAGAAGCCATTTACAGCCATCCATTCTTTTTCAGTACGATAAACAGCCTCCACAGACTGAGATAAACCATCACCGTAAACATGAGCACTTCATTTGGCTTTGTCAGAGTGCTGCTTTTACTGTTACTTCATTACCCTTAGACTTGATGCGTTCTTTTGTCTCTGCTTCGTATTTCACAGATCGCCTTCTACCAGCCATCTGACATATGAAAAAAGAAACAGGAAGGATAAAAAAAAAAAGATTTTTCTTCACCAGTGTTGGGGAGTAACGGAATATCTCCCGTTACGTATTTAAAATACAAAATATGACTAATTGTATTCAGTTACCATTTAAAAAGGTGATAATTAGAATACAGTTACTTTGTTGAAATAAATGGATTACACAACGGTGTTTCCTGTTTCATATGTTAGGCTACCCTCTCTAATTTTGATAATTCCAAGCATTGCCGTAAACCCAAACAAAACACGTAATAAGGAGCTCTAATGTAAGTGTCCTGTTAATGTTGGTGGTGTCATTAACACTATGGACCCAAAGCCAGCACAACAGAGCCAGCAGTGTGCGGGCAGGAATGCATTTCTTACTTGGAAATTCGGACAACACTTCACATTTAAAGAAGAAAGGAATGGGAGAAATCTGACCGTGTGATGCAAACTCTGTTTGCCAGCAACCAAGCTGCTCTCAGCTTCAAAAGACTCCAACCTAAAGAAACATCAGGAGGTAAGTTCTTTCTAAAAAACTAACGCTAGCCCACTGCAACTACCTTGTTTTAGTCGCGGTAGCTATCTGGGTTATGTGCCACTTTAGTAGTAGTAATAACTGAAGGCTACTCGCCACCGAGTTAATATTGTTAGCTGCGTTTGTGATTTTAAAACGACATACGGATATATAAAGGATCTGTATTTACACATGACATTAATTTTATTATGAGTAATGTCAACCCTGCATTGAGTAGAGGCTGTAATCAGCTGACCTTTGCAGTTGTTGTTGTGAGAGTCACTGCTCTTTGTGGGTTTAGCCAATTGAATTCAACAAGATAGAAGCAGAGGTTATTTGGCTGATTTCCAACCCCCTGGCACCATAATGCTTCTATAAAAAGGTAGAATTCAGTGACTGTAATCACTGTTATTGCTTTTAATATAAACTGATATCTGCTACCTGTGATATAATTTAACGTTTACAATGAACTGCACCAGTCCAACATAGTGCATTACCATACATGCACCATGAACACATTCCACAAATATGGACAAAAGAAATGTGTTGAGAAGTGGCCGTGGGATATTTTCTTCCTGTTGTGTCTAAGAAAACTAGTTTATAATAATGACCAATAACAGCGCTCTATGGAACTTAAACCAAAAAGGTATTTAGAATTTGGTTAAAGACCTGGATCTAAAGTCACAGAAATAACATGCACATTATGACATACCATGTTTGTTTTTGCCTGAGCACTTAATTATGCTGGTATACTTCTACAAAGTACAGCTGAGCTCAGTTAAGGAACTGTCATTAGCTGTGGTATGTGGTCACAAGCCAAAGTATTTGCATAATGGTTTGTACAATGCTACCACTGTCCATCCATCCATCATCCTAACTACTTATAGGCTGAACCCTATTTCAGCTGTATTACAGTGAAAAAACACACTGAACAGTTCGCCAGTCTATCGCAGGGCGAACAGGAAGACAGGCACCATTCACACTCATGCGTGCTGGGTTAATAGATGTGAACATGTCTTTGGACTGTGGCAGGAAGTACCTGAAAATAACCCATGTATGCACAGTGAGTGCACAGAGGAAGACTCCAGCCACCCAGGAAGTCCAGGGAGGACAACACTATCCTTTCTATCAAGGTGTTATAGTGGTGCTTACTGAAAAGACAAGAATGTGACCTGTGTACCAAATTTTGAGCCAAATGATCCAAGGTGTTTTTTAAGATCTTTAAAACAAAATCACAAATGTCAGTCTTGTGGCAGTAAGAGATCAGAGGATCATCAGAGTCAAAGGGGCAGTAAGAGATCAGAGGATCATCAGAGTCAGTGGATTTCAATCCTTTCAGGGACTGCTGTGCAGCTTATTAAATACCACTCACCAAAGTCACCACAGATCCACCCCATTTGCATGTCTAATGCAAAAATATTAACTGCTTCAGAAACTTAATACAAAGAAATAAACCAACCAACCAACCAACCCTAAGGCAGAGGTGCATTCATGTGTATCTCATGTAGCTGTGACATTTATTGATCCCTCATCCTGCTTCACTCTTTCTTCTCTCGTTTTCTGTTTTCACAGTTAATTGTGACAGCGACTCAAAAATCGAACAACAGAACCCAGCCACGATCCTCCTTGTCAGCCACCTTGGACCTGCGCTCTTAATGCGAGAGGCCACCATCACAAGCAGCCAATATAAGAAGCGCAAAGGTCAAAGCTGCGGTGGCGGCCAGTAGGGATGAAATATATTGCTCTGTCACTCTCTCATTCATGTGGAGTGCAGAAGCTCTCAGTATATATTTCCAAGTGGACCTTTAACCTCTGTGTGTCTGAGGAAATATAAACCCTACTTAACATTCAAACACTAACATGCCTAGGTACAAGCTGACTTTCCTTTCCAAAAGCATATGAAAAAAAAAAGCACTACATGAACAATAAAGTTTGCTAATTTGCTAATTAGATCCCCTGTTACCACCAGGGTTGGCAAGGCTGTGCTTTTTGGGATCAGAGCGTGCCTCCAACTACTCAAAAAGCTCAACTGAAACCACAACAAGCAACACTTTTTGCTCTCCAGGCAACAAGAGCTTATCCCCAATCTTTAACAAAGCTGTTTCTGCTGTCAGAGTTGTTAAATAAGATCTCAAAAAAGCAACACTTAAGCTCTGATGTAACAACAGCAAGGGTAGAAAGCTCTCAGTCCGTTAATTATCTTGCTTGATTTAATTTTGTTTCTGGAAATGATGGAGATGTAATTAGCTTGAAGTATCAGCTAAACACAAGCCATAGCGGATTAGACAGTTAGCCTAAAGACACATCTGAACGCAGGCAAGCTCTCACTTTGTAGTTGGAAACCCTAACTGAAATGACAAGGTTAACAATGGTGGTGTATTCACGGGTGTCGTCCTTGTACGGTAGCGTGTTTTGCTTTTTAGATTCTAAAGACTTACTGATGCAAAAGTTTTTCAGTGCATTTGTCTTTGACCCTTTGTTGTTTTCTTTAGTGGCGTATGAGGCACGACATGCGCTATGCTAACCACGTAGTTCTTCATTTTAAATCACATACAACATCTGT